TAATGGGTGCATGGTGTTATGCACATGTGATAAAACTGCATAGAACTAAATACACACACACACACATACACATGAGTACAAATAAAACTGGGAAAATCAGAATAAGGTAGGTAAATTGTGTCAATGTCAGTATCCCAACCAAGATATTGTACTATAATTTTATAAGATGTTACCATTGGGAAAAACTGGATAAAAGGTATACCAGATTTCTGTTATTTCTTTCAAGTGAATTTTAATCTGTAGTTATCTCAAAGTAAAAGTTCCAATTAAAAATAATAGCAATTTAAAGAAGTCTCTGTTGTGAAAGAAGGGGATGGGATGCTGGAAGCGGAGGTTGAAATGATGTAGGGTTGTGAACCAGAGTGTAGGCATCTTTAGAAGCTGGAAAAGGTAAGGAAATAAATTCTCCCTTGAAGCCCCCAGGCAGAATGTAGCCCCACCAAATGAATTTTGGACGTCTGACCACTAGAACAGTAAAGTAATAAATATGTGCTGTTTAAAGATGATGGAATAGATGGTACCCAGCGTCATCCTCTCCCACAGTCAACCATTTACAACTATTAAAAAGCAATGACAGCCAAGCTGGGGCTGCTAGAGCTCAAGGGAGGAGGAGAGACCTACGGAGTTAAGTTCTCCTAAGAGACGTACGATGAGAGAAAGAAAGGACTGATCCAACCATTTTGAGCCCCAACCACTTCAAGGCTGGCCCTGGTGAGCACACAGAGCAAGAGCTGGCAAAAGCTGCAACTATGCCCTTTGTATGATGTTGCTTGGAGGCTACGGGGAAGAAGAGGGCCTTGGGGGCCCCCAGGCCAGCAAGACCACTAACAGGGTTCTCGTGGACCCACATAGGAGTGAGGGGCCACAGACAACTGAAAAAAGGAGTCACTCAGAGGCCAGTGAGTCATCACAAGGGACTGGTGCATGGCCTGTCTCATGGGAAGTGTTTGGAATGTGGGAGGTAGGGGAGATGTGCCCACCAGGGGGACACTGGGGCACAGCATGGACAGCTGATCTGCCCTCCAATCAGCATAGGTCCACTCAGTGGAGATTGGACAGGAATAGAGAACTGCAGGGGGTGCAATTTTCTGAAAAGACTCAGGCCCAGACCAGAGTTTCCATGCAACCCAGGTGTATTGGACCTCACAAGACCCAGAAGTGCTTACAGGGCCAACAGTTAAAACCTGAGCTGCACAAAAAGCTTTCCCCAGAGAATCAGCAGCAAAGCAATTTAGCTCAGCCACAGGGCTCAAGTGCTGGTTCCCATAGGATGTTCCCCCATTTTAGAAGTAAGCAAAGGACAGCAGATTAGTTCCAGTGCAGAGTTTAAGTGGTGGGGGTAGCTAATAATCCAACACAGAACCGAAAGAAAACACAAAAAACCCACAGATAAGAGACAAAGTTCTCATATTAACCAGTAGAGGTCTAACACCACCAAAGAACACCTATAAAACCTGGAAGGACCAGAAGCCCTCCAGGCTCCCAAGCTGGAGTGGGAGAAGGGTGGAGGGCCTCAGCCACACCACCCCCGCATGTCCGCATCCAGCCCAGCAACAACCAGCAGGCTGCTGCAGGAAGCGCCCTGAGCTCCTAAGCTGGGGTGGGAGGTGGTGGGGCCCCCCAACCTTTGCATACAGCCTAGCAATTACCACCTAGCCAGCGCCAGAAGCACCCCAGGCTCTGGAGCTGGGGCAGTGGGGGCCAAGGGCCTCAGCCACGCCCCCAACATCTGCATCCAGCCCAGCAGAGACTGCAGAGCCACTGCTGGAAGTGCCCTGGGCTCCTGAGCTGGGGCAATGTGGGGCTGAAGGCTTCAGCCAAGCCTCATGATGTCTGCACCCAACCCAGTGATGACCACCAAGTCACAGCTGGAAGCTGTCTGGGCTCCTGGAGTTGGGGGGCTGAGGGCCTCAGCCATGCTCCCCTGAAGTCTCCCCTGAAGTCTGCATCGAGCCCAGTCATGACTGAGCTGCCACTGGAAGCCCCCTGGGCTCCCCTGCTGGAATGAGGAGGGGTGCCACAGGCCTGGACCGCACCCCTCCTTCCTCCTCCTCCTCCCACCCATCTCCCACCCATTTTCCTCTCCCCCTGCCCCGAACTGCTCCGTAACAACATCTTAGAATGTAAAAAATAATAACGAATTTTTAAAATATATATAAAGATGTCTCTGCCGAAAGATTTGTGATTTAACACATGTAGCTGCAGGAAGCACATTAATAAATCATTCTGTGGAGCATGACTTTCCATTTACAATCGGGATACCCTATTAAATAGATTTTACTAATTTTCTATTCCACCTTTTCATGTGCACATATGGAAAGTAAAGCAATAGCTGTGATGTGTTGTCTCCATTAGCAAAAGAAGAACTTTGCAAACAGTTAAGTATGCTAGTTTTATATCAGCCTCATTTTCTGTCAAGTAAAAAATCAGTTACTTCTAATAGTGGTTAAATATTTTCATACAATTTATGGGGCCAAAGTTTTTGGAAGTTTATTCTGTCAAAGAGGAAACATTTGTTATTATTGTGAAGATACTGTAAATTAATCTAAAAACTCAACATTGAAGAAAATGCTGTTTGTTTTTTGAGTAATAATACAAATATTAAGCTTAGTACAGCATAGAGTTGTGGTCAAAACACTGTTCTTTATTAAGAAACTCAATGTAGCAGAAAATGTATTTGGAATTGGTTGTAGCACATTCATAATTAATAATTGCATCTCTGCATGCCTGATATTCTACCAATAAAATAACTATAATTTTCAAAATTTACAAGTATTTTTGTATACATACTTGTAAATTGCATAAGTTTACATGTTCTCATCAAATTGCATAAATTTACAAGTATTTTTATGTATAAGTATCCATATACATTTTATGAACTAGGAAATTTTTGTTATGATCAGATATTGAATTTTAAAAAAATATTTCAGTAGGTCAGTATTTACATTGTCTGTTTGCTGTCAGCAATAAGATTTTAGAAATATTTGAAAAATATATATACCTCTCCAAATTTACTGACTGAAATTTTTGAGCAAGCCTGAAGTGGAGTGGTGTCGTAGTTTTTAAAAACACATATATCTATTCTGATCATTTTTAGCAGTCCAAAAGGTATTAAGATTATACTCACATTCTTCCTATTTTTTTTTATATATAGTGACTTAATTTTTAATTTTGTTATTTTTTTATATTTTTTAATTTTATTAATATACAGTATAATTGATTTTCGTGTCCCTTTACTGATTCTTCCCTTCCTCTCTCCAACTCCCACCTATCAACATCATATGTGTTCACTTGTCTTAACAAGAGCAAGGAATTGTGATTGTTGTGTCGTCTTCCCTGCACCCCCGTTTGTTTGTGTATTTATTTTTAGCTCCCACAAATAAGTGAGAACATGTGGAATTTCTCTTTCTGTGCCTGACTTATTTCACTTACTATAATTTTTTCTAAGTCCATCCATGTTTCTGTGAATGGTGGTATTTCATTCTTTTTTAACAGAGTAGAATTCCATTTTGTAGATATACCACATTTTCCATATCCACTCATCTGATGATGGCCATTTGGGCTGGTTCCAACTCTTGGCTATTGTAAATAGTGCTGCAATAAACATTGGAGTACAGGTATCCCTTCAAAGTGATGATTTCCATTCCTCTGGGTATATTCCCAGCAGTGGAATAGCTGGGTCATACGGTAGATCAATCTGTAATTGTTTGAGGAACCTCCAAATCATTTTCCATAAAGGCTGTCCCATTTTGCAGCCCCACCAACAGTGTAGGAGGGTTCCTTTTTCTCTGCAACCTTGCCAGCATTTATCATTCTCAGTCTTTCTTTTTACTCTCCACTCCAAAACAATTCATCAAATTTTTGACTCAAATAATTTAGGTGCTTTGCTGCCTTCTCTCTCACTTCTCACAGACACACACATAAAGACCAATCAATTTAGGTATATCTTGTATTTGTTGCCACTCCTATTTCCCTGTTTTTAGTAGATATTCCACGTTGGTTAAAGCTGTGATTTCTTCTTCTTGATATATTTGTAATTTCTTCACTTCAACTTGTTTTCCTGCAAAAGTTTTTGACTCTTACTGAAACTCTTTTTTTTTTTTTTTTTGTCTTTTTTCATGTCCGGCAACGGATCGCAACCCTCAGTGCTGCACCCGCACCTCGCTCAGCCAGTGAGCGGGAACCAGTCTGTATGTGGGATCCGAACCCTCGGCGGGAGCGCCGCCACGCTCCCAAGCGGCGCACTGTAGCAGTGCGCCACCAGGCCGGCCCCTGAAACTCTTTTTGTATGTGCATGTGTCCAGTGTTGTAAAGCTAACCTACAGTGAACTGGTACAGTACAGTTGGTCTGGCTGTGCTCTAAGACTTTGTCAGTGTCATCATCTTTCTATTTGGTGTTTAAAATGACTCATAATTACAAGTTACTAAATTATTCAGTGTAAAGAAAATGTAGTAATGGTGTGTAAAATCCCATAATACAGCATTGCCTATTATATTGGTCAGAAGACTTTAGTTCCTTGACAAGATCCCTGCCATATCTGCTCTTAGGATTTGATATAACCAATTCTGTTTAAACAATATCTTTAACATTTATAATAAAGACAGAGTACTTTTGGGTATTGACTTATTTGAAAAATATTATGTATATGGAAGTTCCTTTTTTTAAAAATAATATGTATCTGTTCTTGACTAAATGCTTTTGTTTTTGTTTTTGTTTTTTTTTTCCTGACATCTTGCTGGTATAGGGATCTGAACCTTTGACCTTGGTGTTATCAGCACCATAATCTCCCAAGAGAGCTAACTGGCCAGCCCTAAAATGTGGTTTTTGGAAGAGCTAGTATTTGAAAATCATTTATCAGCTCTAACCGTATGAAAACAATATATGCAATCATTTTGTTTAAAAATTATCATTGGTAACAGAATTTAAGTATCCACAGGCATATTAGGGTGAAATATTTGATTGGAATTAATTTAAGCTCAATTCTCATTCTTTTCCGTACAGTATTTCTCAAACTCTGAGGCCTGAAGAATTCACACATTTAGATATGGCGTCATTTTCAGAAAGAGACTTTTGGTAATGTGTAAGTAGTTTTTGTTTTTTATTTCAGTTTGTTTCAACTAGCTGTTTTCTGTATTAAACACAGTGAAACCTTAATTTACAGAACTCTTGAGGATTTGGAACATATTTACCACAGAATAATTATGAGTAATAAGTGACACAGAATAATTTGTTGAAAGAAGATATGCTTTGGATCAGTATTAATTCAACACTATTTATTAAAGGAAAAATCCTCAGTGTAAAGAATATTGGATTGAGGGACTTGAGTTCTTGCCCAGGCTCTGCCACTAAACTAGCTGGGTATCCTTAAGTAAGCCACCTCCTGTGCTTCAATTTTTTTGGCTATAAAATGCGGGATTGGACTGTGATTGATAATAAGATCTCTTTCCCTCTATATGTCTATTATTCCTATCTTAAGTTTTTTTATAAATCAAGGTTTGATAATCTTTCAAAAGAGTTGTCAAATTACCAATTTATGTTTTGATTTTATGCTGTTAGTTTTTTGCTTCGGGATAGGTATTGGGGTCAGTGGTTCTAAAGTAGATTAGGGGACAGGTTAGCCCCCCTTGCTCAAGAAATCAGTCCTACATAGTCCATCAGTTTGGGGTATAAATCTTACTTTTAAAATTATGTTTGCTTTGGGTGGGTTAAACCTTTTTTAACAAAATGTCAACGTATTGTTAAATATGATACACAAATAAAATTTCTTTCAAAAATCTCCATGGATGCTGATGCTGAATGAGTGCCAGTTTTCAAGGAGGTGGGGGAAAGGGAAAATAAAGTAGTGATAACTTCTGTGCATGGGGCTTTTGGGGAGAAACTGATAGGGAAATTTTGGGCAGGGTGAAAGCAAGCATTTGGAATCTGGAAGGATGATAGGAGAAAAGATGGCTAGAGGTGGAATGAAAATATAGAAAGAGATGAGGAAAGGCAGAATTAAATAAGAAACTTCGAAGGCAGGGGCAATTGCTTTCATCATTGTTGTCACCTGCTCCTAGAATAGTGTCTGATCTTAATAAGGATTTATTAAAAATTTGTTGAATAAATGAATAAATTACTTATTTAATGAATTTCTAATTTTGCCTAGGGCCCTGATCATGGTGGTTATTGGTTACTAGACTCAAATCATCTAGTTTGTCCATGTCAACAACTACAGTATTTAAGGTAATTGAGATTCAGAAAAGTGATTCTGAGTTATAGAGAAAAAAACATGTTTAGTATAATATGCTTGAGGAAGGTTATAAAGCAAATATTCATTTAATAGATATATATGTATATATATGTTTTTTTGGTGGCTGGCTGGCACAGGGGTCTGAACCCTTGGGTTTGGCCAGTGCAGGGATCTAAATCCTTGCTCTAAAATAAATTTTTTTTTTTTTTTTTGTCTTTTTTGTGACCGGTAAGGGGATCACAACCCTTGGTGTGGTGTCACCCACACCGTGCTCAGCCAGTGAGTGCACGCACCGGCCAGTCCTATATAGGATCCGAACCCACACGGAAGCGTCGCTACACTCCCAGCGCTGCACTCTCCCGAGTGCGCCATGGGCTCGGCCCTAAAATAAATATATATATTTTTTTGTCTTTTTCCGTGTCCGGCAACGAATCGCAACCCTCAGTGTCGCCCCCGTAC